CCCCTCACGTCCTTTGCCCCCTCCTCTGGGCTCCCAACTCTTTCTGCAGCTTTTCTACTGTTACCCCTTGGCTCCTTCTTACAGCTGTCTTTCAGCAACACCTCTGATCTTCTGGTAGGAAAGATCTACACCTAGCCTACTCGGACAAGGGCAAAAATATCGAAGGTCTCGTGTGTAAGCTGCGCACATTAAAGATCCCTTGGTGAACCAAAATCGATAAGAGTAGACTTCAGCTGCCACCCGGGCAAAATTCAAAATATCCTACCAACGGAAAACATTTAATGTGTCTAGCGTGCTCACATATGACCTTATGCAGTTTTGAGCGCAGTAAAACACTTACTAAAAGTCACCCACATCTGTGGCGTAGCGATTTGGTGCTTCACCATCGGCGCGCTGAAGACCAGAGCAGAATTTTTATCAAGTACTGATATCGAAGTCTTTCTGCTGTGATGTTATATCCCTCTCAGCCCAGGTAGGCCTTGACAGGCGTGATCAAAACCCGTCTCCTATATGATCTGAATTGTTTCGATAGAGGGACGTAAAACACAGATTTTTGCCAAATGAAACGAAATGGCTTAATTTATTTTGTCTGTGTGTGTTTGTTTTAAAAAAATAAATTTTGTGAGTGAGTGTGCTTGTGTGTGTTTGGGGGGGGGGGGCGTCAAAAAAAAAAAGATGGAGGGGGATGTTTGAGGTAACTAGGGGGAGAGGGCGGGAGGATTGCCGTTGCTACGGACACACAGTTGATGAATTAACATGCCAAATTCTCTGGGATTTGTACCCCACCAGATACTCAATGTTTTGTTAAGACGTTGTCTGTCTGTGACAGCATGCCAGTCAAAAGGACTGAAAGAGTTGACCACCAACCCTGAAAGATGCTCATGACCAGTTGAAAGAGATTAAAAAGGAGAGCGATGATGTTATCATGATAATGATAATCATGATCATGATGGTGAATGTCTTAATATGATGTTCTAGATCTAACATTAAAACAGCTGCTTCGCCCCTCTGCAATATCAATGAAAAACTCTTTAAAAAAACAAACAACTAAAGTCGTTTAATGACTTACCGTAACAGCTCCCAGAATGACACGCACAATGATGAGGGCAATGTAATGAGCCTCAGCCAGGAGTGGGGTAAACACCGTCGCTACAGCGGCGATCAACATGGTAATGCCGTAAACCCACTTGCCTCCAAACTTAGTGGCGAACCAGCCAGCCGGGACTTGGCCGAAGAGGTAGCCCCAGAAAAATGAGCCTAAGATGGTGCCTTGAGTAGTCTTGTCCCATTCCAGAGAGCCCTGGCAGAGTAAAAAAAAACAACAAAAGGATAGATGGTAGGATTACATACAGGCTTGCCAGCTTTTTGCAAAACCCAATCAGGGACACCAGACGTACTAAACTTTTAGTAATACCAACAGATTACATATGTTATAACCACGAATATACATGTACACTTACATTTTGGGCCTAAGGAAAACGAAAAGCGGGGCTGATTTTGATGAAGTGAAAGTGATGAGGCTCTCAAATTCCTGATTGCCAAATCCGGGACAGCCTCGGGAAATTCGGGACAGTTGGCAAGCCTGGATATAGTATGATAAGGTACGGCATTCGTGGCATGGTGTAGTTTGGTATTGAGTGCTGTGACGTGGCATGGCATGGCGTCTTGTGGCATAATATGGCTTGGAACGGTTTCAACATCTCATTCAAAGCTTTACATGTATCTAAGAGGCAAGAACTTCCGTTCTATTTTAATGACTACAACAACCTCTCTACATTCTTGCCAGGGTGTCGAGGCTGACTGGGGGCCTCCGAAAGCTCAGTTGACCAGTATCAGGCTGGACTCTCGAGCAAATGGCCCTAGTTCAAACCCAGACTGGGCATTCTTAAACTCGAGTCATTCTGTTGAAGCTTCAATGTCCTCAGCCTAATTGACTCAGTCCTATTAGTACTATCGAGAACAGAGGTTAGATTTGGAGATCCCTCCTCTTACATAACCTAATAGTGTTAATAGGGGGTGTTTAACTTAAACACTTACTCAAGGGTGACTGATTACCCACCATTTCAGCCAAGTCTGACGACGTGCCATTGTCCGAGGAAACGGCAGCACATTCATCACTGCCCGAGTCTGTGCCATTGTCACCGGCGGTCAAGGAACGGATGGCCGTCTGGTTGACCATACACACGATAGCCACGCTCAGGTTCACACGAACGGCGTACACGTTGATGAAGCCCAAAAAGCCAATGATAGCCAGGCCGAGACGTGAGGACGCCAACAGGGGTGTGGCTAAAAAAGAATTTACCAAGTTAATATTATTATGCACGCTCATCAACTCTTTTCTACTTATATTAACCATAAGTTAATTTTAATACAAAGATATTTTAGTATACTGTAAGGACCACATGTTTCTATAATAGTATGCCCAACGCACGCGCACAAACACACACACACACACACACACACACACACAGATACACACACACACACACACACACACACA